TTTTCTTCCAAAAGTCAACGTATTTCAGATGCTTCTAGGAATAAAACTTTTGCAGGAAATATTCAAATCTTTTATCGATAAATGACCTCTGTCCAAGTACTATGATAATATTGTTGATAAAATTCACACTCAAGTCTTGTTTGTTATGTTTGAAATTTCTTTCGTTCGCCTCCTTATATATGGATTGTTAATGATTAATCTAGCGACCAGTAAATATAATCTTTAGTACTATTTCGTAATGATTGTTCGTAATGTAAATCGCTAAATGTTGACGTGTGGGTTGCTGTATTACACATCAGGTGGTGAAACGGATGGTATTTGATTCGACAACTTTTGATAACATAACTGCTTTCAATATTGTACTGCTTGGATTTTGATTTCATTCATCAATATATGTGTATCTGTAAGGCTATGCACGATAAACAATTTAGGTTCATACTGCTACATATAAAGTAAACCTTTTTTGTAATAGACTACGATCAGAATGACTGATTTCCTGAATGGATTTTTTGGATATACGCTGTTATGAACATTTTCATAAGTTAAGGGCAACCATCTTTGAATAATATTTGCAATTAATGCTACTGTGTGTAATTTCATTATTTAATTAATTAAACAGTAGAACTTTAATTCAGTTTATTCGTGCTGTTTTGCTCTGTTCATTCAGCATTATTCAGCATTATCAAATATTGACTTGAGAGAAATTGTATAACTATTCTATATATACCTACATATAGTCAAGCAGATAGAAGAAAGAGCGAAAACGATGATTAACTTTGAATGAAATCATTAATGGATATGACAATTATTCATTCAAAGTTAATCATCTTTTTCGCTCTTTTTTTTCTCGAACGCGTTGAAAGATTCTCAAAAATACTTTCTAAAAATATTCCTGCTTTGATATCCTGACGTAGCTCATACGTTTCATTTCTATTTTTGAAAAACGATATGGACTATAGAATTTTAAAATGTCTATTTCAGCGCCTAGCTAATGAACATCCCAAAATTTCTAAGCGATAGATTATTCCAAAGCATTTTAAGTAACAACATACCACATTTATTTGGCGCTTGGTACAGTACTCGTTTGGTGTAATTACAATATGGCTGACTCAGTGAAATTTCTTGCTGTTAGTTGGAAGTTTTTTGTTGCTTGTTGGAAATTTCTTTTGTGAGAAGCCAAAATACTGTCATGATAAGAAAAAACGAATGGGGAAAGGAAATTGTCAGCGATAAAACACACGTTTTTTGTTCTTTCTGTCGTTATTTTTCTTTACATATACCGGTCGATACTTCTTTTTTCTTTCTGCGTCGATGAAAAAGTTTCGCAATACACTATAAGAACCAAACGTTTCTAAAAGTAACTGTGTGAGCACATTAGATAAGAAAATGACGTTCACAGTAGTGCTAATGAAAATAATGCTCTGTCTCATAGTCTCTCTCAACCTAATAATAATTATGCAAACATATATCAATCTGTCTTTTACGTTTCTGATCAAAATAAGACCTCGCACAACTCTGTATGACCTTGCGTCAAAAAGTTACAGGCATTTTCCTAGAAGTCCTAAAATCGAGTATTTCATACAGCATTTTCTCTATATAAGAATCACACCTGAAGTGTGTCCCAAGATTTTTGATAGCGGTTTGTCGTAGAGAGTTCATTCTTTCTTTGTTTAAAAGACGAAAAGAAATTACATGGTCTGACAGGCGCCGATTTTTGAATTAGGTCCTAGATTTTTGTCAAACTGAGGATTTTAAAAAAAATTCGGAAGGCATTTTCGGGTTCTGGAGGTTGTGGGTTGCCTGGAAAACCAGTAAAGGCTTAATTGAAAAATCGGCGCAGATCAGACCGTGTAGTTAGGTGTCTAGTTTAAAATAAAACAAACCCGAACTCTCCAGTTTGAAGTATATTAAAAAATCTTAGGACACACTTCAGGGTCCTTTTTGAACCTTGATCTCTGGAAAACTCCTGAACCGTAAGAGTTGGAGCAAAAAATTTTTTCATTCCGGTAACTCATTGTGCCTAACATTATGGAAAATTTCGTCAAGATTGGATGTATGGTGCCGGAGATAATTTCTGAGGAGGAGCCCTTAAGTGTTACTCTTTTTAAGTGCTAATAGCACTATTAGTATTCGTTGAAGCTTCACTCTCCCGACTGTTTTGTTTTTCCTCAACATTATTAACCTCTTGAATGCCGTTATTTTTTCTCTTCCGCGTCCAAAGGCATGCATATGTAAAAAAACGATTAAATATCTCTCTTTGTGTTCTGTTGTTTTCGTCATATGTGTTCCTCCGACACTTTTTTTTCGTTAAAAAGATAGAACGAAAAAGCATATGCAACATATAAAATGTCCTTCATGTCATCTATAGATGCCTTACGGCATTCAAGAGGTTAACAAAATGGATATGAGTCATGGAAAAGCAAGTTCATACGTCAAAGTTCTTTCGTGTAACATTTCTTTGTTTTTTCTTGTGTATTCCAGCATATATACTGGTAATGTTTAAGTAAATACAATAAGAATTTTTTTTCTATCCTTTACAATGGTATCCCGGAGGAAGAAAGACAAAGAAGTCGAAGAAAATCAGCTAATGTACAAAAACAATTCAGATCACTGGAGAAAATTTAAACTGTCAATTGTTAATACATACTCTAAATACGAATGAATTCTTTTAAAAAAAAATTCATTTCGATTATCAATATATTCTTTCTTGTTTTTGGTTTTTTATGACATTATTACGCGTATATTGTAAGTAGAGACGTTCTTAGCTCATAAGATCATATATAAAACACTAAATGTAAAAGACTTACATCACATGATCACAACAAAAAGAGGAAAAAGAATGAGAAAAGTTTTTCAGTATTCAGTCACTACAATAGAGGGAGAAAGAAGTTTAGAATATTTTAATTTTTCTTTTTTTTCTTTGTTCGTGTAAGTTGAATAATTGAACTTTTACATAAAGTACTTTTTTATCTATTTTTCATTATGGATATGATGACTGAAGCCGAAAACGCTCCTAAGGATACCTTTCCCCTCTTTTGCGCTTTCCGTAGAAATGTTGTGAAATAAGAACTAAAACTCACTAAGGCTTCACATTTTCAGAATTGTCTCGAAACTCACTGGAACACGTTTTTGTTTTTGGTTTGAGTTTTTAACTATTGCCGTTCACCAGTTTTTCACAAAACTCGATTTGTCATTGAACCGCATTACAACCCCCTTAAATTTCATCCGATCGAATTATAAATTTTCCCAAAGGTACTCAAGATACTGTTGCAGAGGTAGTTTTGGAGAAATTTTTTAAGACTTTTCCTAGTCGAGTTATAGGAAAAATACTGAAAAACGTCTGAAAAATCAAGGTTTTCAATTTTTATTAGAAGCCCTATAACGTCCCTCTGCAATAAGATCCTGAGTGCTTCTTGGAAAATTTTTAACTCAATCCGATGAAATTTAAGGGGCCGTAAAGCTGTCCAATAAAGCCCGATAGCAACCAAATAGTTTTGGAGAAAAAACGCATTTCGTACACAGGTCACTTTTTTCAGGGCATTTGCCGTGATGTTTATATCTCCACCAAAACTCACCAATTAGCTCTGGAAAATACCTCGCTGTGAAGACAGCATACGTAAGAAAAATTTTGAATGTACAGGAAAATAGAGAAAAGTTTATGAAACTGAAAAATTGAGTTTTTTTAGGCTATGAGGGATTAACTTCAAAGATACATAACTTTTGAAGACAGGTCGTAGAATGCCGGGAGTGGTCTCATTTTGTAACCCACACTTTTCTCTACATTAATCTATGCCCAGCTAAATATTCAAATTTTTTTCAAAAAAAGAAAAAAGGGTTTCCTTAAGTTACACTTACTTATCGTATCATCAGTTTTAAATTGAGATGATTCGACTTTAACGTGAAGAGAAACTAGCCATTTAATATAAACCTTTAAATGATTCTTAACATATGCCGTTTGAAATTTGAATATGCAGTTTTTTTTACCACAAACCGATTTTCCGAAACTGACAGATCCTTGCGACAAACTGTGCACATTGCACTCCACGTATCTTTTCATAATCATGTTTTACATCAACAAAGAAGTAGTTCGAAAGTGTACTTATATGAAAAAATATACGAAATAAAACGACCCCAAAAAAGCATTCTATTGATATCGTATATTTATTCAAAAGAGCAAAATGTGTAAAAAAGAATAAAAGCTTTATTAAAGCATTAAAGGATAAGTTTCAAAAACATAAGTATGACATATTAATCTTTTTCAAAGGGACTAAGTAAACACTCATGACATGCAGTATATTTCGTTTAAACATGTGAAAAAATACATTTGATAATGACTTGGTTAGAAATGAAGTGAGTTTCATGCGAATTGAAATGGCGAAGTGGTGCTTATTCCTCCTTGGTATAACTGCGTTCAGATCAAAACTGGATTTAAATTTAAATGTGATTTGAGAGAATGAACAAAAATAACATGATCGGCCTTCCAGCTAAACATCAATTGAACGACACATATCAACTACATTTGATCACGAAAAAAATGCGTAGGTGGATATCTCGAGTTAGACCTAACAGGCTGCAAAAAAGCGTCGGGTCGACAAAAGAGCGGAAAACAGTAGTTGATGGATGAAAACGGACAACGACCCTATCGATTCGTGAAAGACAGACCGGATAAGAAGAAATTTTAAACCGTTTTGAGCCCTGCTGCATAGGACTCTTGTTAAATCCTCATTTTTGGTTTGATTATTACCCATTAAAATCGCAAATGTAGGATAGCGTAAACCTGAGAAATTTTAAAAGTGAATATAACTAGTGAATATAACAGTGTTTTTTACATTGCTTCTTCAGTGAACGATTTCACTCTACAGTTTCAAATGAAAAACAAGTTATGTAAGAAAACACACTCAGAATGTCAACAAAACTAGTATTCAGAGTTCCTCAATAAAACTAAATAATAACAATTATGGCATTTTCTTTTGTAATACTTCAACTCATAAATGTCATTTTCAGTCAAAGACAATAACGACTTTGCCTCCATGTCCTTGGCTAGCGATTTTGTAGGCTTCATCTGCTTGTTCTAATGTGAACTGATGTGTAACTATTTTCTCTGGATGTAAATTCCATCGAGATAATCGTTCGGTTAAATCTGCCATGTGCTTTAGAGATGTAACCCATGAGCCATACAACGTAATTTGCTTGTGAATTAGCAGTGGTGAAACATCAAATTGAATGTCATTACCTTCACCAACGAAAACACATCGACCCCATTGACGCGTACCTTGTAAAGCGACTTGTCGAGCAGACGGAGATCCAGAACAATCAATCGTTACTTCACAGCCATTCCCATCAGTCAATTGATGAATTTTTTCGAGTGTTTTCGAATTGCTTACTAATCCGTCATCGATTAGATTCATACTACGTGCTAATTGAATCCGTTCTTCGCTGATATCTACACCAATGATATGATGAGATCCAAGTGCCCGTCCAAGCATACCGACGGCGAGTCCAACGGGCCCTAATCCAGTAATCAGTAAACGATCTTGTCCATTGAGTTTAACGCGAGTTAGAGCTTCCCATACAGTACCAAAACCACATGCGATAAGAGCACCGTCGACAAAGGTTAAATTTTCAGGAAGAGAAATACACGTATTTTCTTCTGCTAACAGATATGGTGCATGCCCTCCATCTCGCTGCCATCCGTATGCTGCTCTCTGTTTTCCGTGACATGAAATCATATAACCTTCTTTACAATCATTGCATAAGCCACATCCGCTGATATGGTACACAATGACACGATCTCCAACGTTAAACTGCTTACATCCGCTGCCAACTTGAACAATCTGTCCGCATGGTTCGTGACCCGCGATAACATTTCGGTACTTCTCGTCTCCTGTTCCGAGATGCTCACGATAAATTGCTCTAGAATGTATCAACACGTTGAAATTTATTTTTGGTTTCTACCCCACAACTTTTCATATACTTGCCTAATGTCGCTACCACATATCGATGAAGCCTTCATTTGTACGAGCACTTGACCGTAAGATGGTTTTGGAATCTCTTGCTCGCGATACTCAACGGTACTATTCCCGGGTAACACTACTCCTCTCATTGTTTTTCGACTTTCTGGCTCTGCTGTCAGCATGACTGCCTTAGTGTAGATCTAAACTCTGTAAAAAACATAACATATTTATGAGTAAAGTGTTCACTTTGACAAGGATATTGCAAGGAAGTCACCTAAGAGACGGACAGTTCAGTATGATACACGTTGATTTAATGGAGTGAAGCGTATAATCTACGTAGTTTTATTACTCGTCGTAACCTTTTATGTAGTGTAAAAAATACAGCATATAAAAGCCTATTTTACAATGTTGACACTGATAACGTGAGTGAAAGGAAAGAAGAAAAATGTATTCTCTTAAATCAACTAGATGTAACATTCAAAGCGGGTGAAAATGACTACCCAAAATTCTCAATTAACAGGTGTGCCATAATAAACTGGACTAAATGTTACTGCATTTTTTTCGTACTCCCTCTTCAAATAAGAAGTTCCTTTACATACCAAAACATAGAGAATTTCAAGCTCTATAAAATCTACTATTCGAATCTCTGAGAGCATTTTTCTCGTTTGAGCACCATTCAAAATATAGAAGAGTGCTAAGTTGTCGAACTGCGACGTACTTTTGCCGCCTCATTTTTTTAGATTTTCAGTACATTGTCTGAGGTTCAATAGTTAATTTTTCTAGGTAGAATGATAGAAAATTTTGCGCTCTATCGACCTCACTCATTTACAATCTATGACAACGGTGGCGAGAAATCATTCTTACTATTTGTAAGACCATATTAGCAAGTGATAAGGCCAAAGAGAATATATATATTACCTATAATTAATTAGCACAGTTAATGTATTCTTTGATGTGTT